CTGTGACAGAGACAGATGTAGAGATAGAAATTATACAGAACAGGACCTCTGTCCCCTCCCGAGTCCCCGATTGTTTGTACCTCCTCGCTGTGTACCTGCCTGCCATTGTCCATTGTCCATCTCTTCCTGAGACATGGGCTCCCTTCCCTGGAATCTTGGTGTCTGATCAGCAACGTGCAGCTGTTGATATACCTTCAGCCTGAGTAAGCCATCGGTCATGGCTAGTTTGGATTACATATTAAATGGCCTAGAAGTGGCAAAGCATCATTTTAGGGAAAAGAGCATTTTACTTTAACAATATCAAAAAAAGAAACAAACAAACAGAAAAAACATTTACTCTAGCAAGACCCAGTGCACAGTGTGTGGTAGCCACAGACTAGCATCTTGGCTAAGAGCATGAGACTTTGGCTGCCGGCTGACCCTGACCGTCTCCCTGCACTATGTGACCTTGGACAAGTTACTTAGCCTCTATGAGGCTCAGTTTCCCCACCTGTTAATTGGGGATCCCAATACAGGCCATCATAAAGATTAAATAATATAGTGTGTAAGAAGTACCAAGCGTGGTGTGGGACACACAGGTGTTGAGCAGATGGTAGCTACTCATACTGGTATATGGAGGAAAGGTGGCATCTCAGAGAAGAGCTGGTATTTTGAGATACAATTTCCTTTTGGTCGTGGGTGCCTTTGTAGAAGAGGCTTGGGGAGAAAGTCCAGGATAGAGACAAAGCTTGCTTCATCCTCGGTCCTTGCCACAGCTGGTGCAGGGGGACAGGGAGGTGGAGGGGTAGGAAAGGGGGCTGTTATCATGTTATTTCTCTGCAATCATATTTATCTCATTGATAAAATGGACCCTGCATTTGGAAACTGGAAGAGTTTCCCTCATAATTTAAAGCAGTACCTATGTCTGCTGGTCGTGGTAACTGGAAGATTAACTTCTCAACCAGCTGGCTCTATCTGCAGGCATGGGTGATGCCATCTCCATGCCTGGCTGGTAATGGGCCTGGCACTACTGGGAGGGGGAGGCTCTCACCTGCTGCTAAGGCAGGTGGAAGGCAGGGCATCCTCAACATGACCCCATGGGGCTGGCACCGTGCTAAGCAGGGCAGGCACACACACACATCCAGCCCTAGGTTTTCATTCTGGGCACCTGCAGATTGCCAGGGCCAGCTTTCTGGTAGCACTTCTGCCTTGGCTCTTTGGGTGACAAGTGTGTCCCAAGCCATGGCTACAGCAGGGACACAGTGAACAGGACAGTCCAGAGCAGTGTGGTCCCCATACATTCCTCCCCACCCCCAGGAGGGCTGATGTCCCTGGCACCCCCAAATCCTGCCCTTGGCCTCAAAGGTGAGAGGCCACACAGCAGAGAGGAAGATGGTGACACTGGTTGGACAGCCAGCTTGCCTGTCACTTATTAGAGATAATACAGTAGCAGAGTGACCACTGGCTCAGCTCTAGTCCAAGCCAAAGCCCTGGCCATTGGCTCAGGAGTGGTAGCATGGAGGACAGTGGTCACACTAGATGAGTGGTAGCCAAAAGCTTCATTTCCTGACCAGATGTAATCACTGTGTGGAGTGTGGTATTGAAAAGAATACTGAGGCAGCCTCCTGGGCTGAACAGGAAAGAGAACCATTATCAATTCACAATGTCTGCCATTGGCATAGACAGGAAATGATGACAGGCATGCTATCTATTTGTCAGTCAAGGACTAGCTATCTAAGTTGAGGTCAGACTGGGCCATTTAAACTGATCCTTTTTGTCGGGGAGATAGAGATGGAGGAAAGCAGCACTTTTCCACCTTTCATCTGTGGGTATTAAAGAAAAATGGAAAACTTTAGCTTAGAGTAGCTGACAGCCAAGGGAATAAAAATGAGAGGCTGGCACTTCATCAAAAACTCAAGCAGTTACAACCCATCAAAAAGCAAAGAAACTAAATTCTACACCTTATTGAAAATGGGATATTGAGGTCTCCAACTGTTATTGTATTTTCTTTTTCCCTTCAATTTGCCAGCCTACACTTCATGTATTTTGGGGACTCTGTTCTTAGGTGCATCTATGTTTCTAATTGTTATAACTTCCTGATGGATTGACCCTTTTATCATTATAAAATGTCCCTCTTATCTCTAATGACATGTTGTTTGTTTGTTTGAAGTCTATGTTTTCTGATATTAGTATAGCCATTTAGCTTTCTTATGGTTGCTATTTGCATGGTACCTCTTTTTCTATCCTTTTACTTTCAACCTATTGGTTCCCAAGTGAGGCTCTTGGGAACCTCGTTGGATCTTGCTTCTTACCCCCAGTCTGGCAATCTCTGCCTTTTGATTGGATTGGCCAATCAATTCGCATTTAATGTTATTATTGATGTATTAGGATTTGCATTTGCCATTTTACTTTTTGTCTTCTATATGTCTCTTTTTTTCTCCTTTTTCTATTTCTCCTTTTTGCTTTAAACGAATATTTTCTACTGTAATATTTTAAGTCCTTTAATGAGTTATTTCCTTAGTGGTTGCTCTAGGGCCTACTGTATATAAATGTAGCACAATCTACTTCATATTTATACTAAGTTAATTCCAGTGAGAATTAAGTTACTGCAGTTACTCCTCTATGAATCTATTCCCTCTCCCCCTTTCTGTGCTATTATTTTTTTTAATCAATACATAAGTTTTAGTACTGCCTACGTGCAAAGCACTAGGTAGGATACAAGGAAATACAGCAGTTTTTATCACAACATTTTCCTGATCCCAAATCTTTAATGGATCCCATTAACTACTCTGACACCTCGACTGGAACCTCCTGTACTGTTATAGTTCTACATTTTCCAGCTCCTCGTGATGTAGTGGAAAGACCTCAGCCCACAGAGTGCCTGGCTTAGCCATATATTGGCTGTATGATTGTGGGTTAGTCATTTAATATCTTTGGACCTCAGTGTCCTCACCTATAAAATGGAGAGAATTGTAAGAATATAGCTTCAAGAGTGAAGCGAGCTCTTTGCACAGCGCCTACACATAGTAGGGGCTCTAAAAGCAGTGGTCTGTGTTTGGCCCTCAAAGAATCCCAGAAATCCATTTACACCAGGATTCTCACATCAGAGAGTCCAGAAGCATGTGTGCCCAGCCAAATCCAAGGGGTGCTCCCTCTCCCCAGTACATGCCGCTGCAAGACAGCAGCTTACCCCGAACATCAATATGCAAAGGCTTGGACTTCAGGCTAGGAGGACATACTGGCCCAGACACAGGGCCTTTAGAGCAGCCCGTCCTGACGAAGGTCAGCAGGCAGCACAAGCCCCCAGCATGGCCAGCACTGCTGGCAGGGCATGTTCATAGCTCAGGCTAAGGCCCCAAGTTCATGCTTCCCCCCCAGTCCCTGCCATGGTCTGAGTGTGGGGCAGACTGTGGAGGCAGTGCTGGGAAGGGATGGAAAGAGAGGAACAGCACAGCTGAGTGTCCAGCCTCTGATGTGCAGAAATCCAGGCCCTCACCTGGGAAAAAAAGTCCTCTTCCAACTATTCAAGAGGTGGCCATCCGCATTCTGCTTGATTACCACCCAAGACAGAGGCCTCACTCCCCTGAGGCAGCTCAGGGCCTCCCTGCTATTTCCCCATCTGGTCTCAAGTCTGGAGCCACTCACTCAATGCAGGCATCGGGCACTTTGGTGTGCCCAGGCCCAGGGCTGAGCTTGAGAACGTAGAGAACAATCACACACAAGCTCTGGAAACCATGCATGATCATATGCAATAAATGCAAAACAGGGACTTGGACATGGGCCTTGGGAGGACAGACAGAGGGGCCCCTTTCAGAACAGGGCCCAGGGATACTTGCCCCCAGTGCTGTGGCTCATTGAGTGTCTGAAGTTGGCTCCCTATGGCTGTCCGGAGATGGGGCTAGCATCCTCAAGAAGGGTTCATGCCTGGGGTGGGGGACACTGGAGAGTGAGCATTGGACTTTGAAGTTTTGGGCCTAAGATCTAGCTTGGCTTGGCCACAGAGTAACTGGGTGACTGGGGGCTGATCACTGATAAGGCTATCAGTGAGCCTTACTCCACACATCTGTGAAACAGGAAAACCACACCCCTGCCCAGCTGAACTGAGAGGAATTAAGTGACACTCCAAGGGGCTCATTGCCAAAGGGCTGGCAATCCCTGAGTAAGGCAACAGATTCCGTGGCTGCCCCTATCTGGCTCTAACCCCTCCCTGGGACCCCAAGCCCCCAGAGCCCCATCACTTTATCCTGTGGGAGCACAGGACCTTCCTTCCATAGGGCTCTCAGTGACCCAGCTGTTAGTCCTAGAGGAGGTTCTCGCATCTCCCCATGCTCCCGCCACTCCACACCCCTTCCTAGAAGTTCCCTCCCAACCCTATGGGCCTTTGTCCTGATCTCCCCCCGCCCAAAATGCCTCCCAGCTTCGCCTCTTCTGGGAAGCCTTCCCAACCACCACCACCACCATACATGTCTAGGTCAGTTGGTGCCCACAACCCAGGCCTGCCTGATTTCCCTGGAGTCCCCTGGGTAGGTTTCACCCCTGAGGCAGGAGGCCATTGTTGGAGGCCAACAAAGTTGGTCCTCACACTCCATCTTCCTGTGTATCCCTCACCCCTTCTTGAGACCTTGGTAAAGTAATGCTGACTTTTTAACCTTGTGTCTTGGTGGAGTAGAGTCCTTGTCTAGCACTGAATCTTGGGTTCACTAATTTGCTGTGTGACCTTGGGCAAGTCCGTTGCCCTCTCTGAGCTTTCCTTTTCTTATCCGTTGAGTCAGTTGAGCTCCCAGGCCAGAGAGGAGGTGGAGCAGAAGGGGAGGGGAGGTCAGCTCCTGCTATCAGAGGCTTCTGCAGCCAGGGGAATGAGGTGCTGTCCACCTTGCTCCTGGCAGGCGAGTCCCTGGGCCTGACCTCAGACTATCCTCCATTGAGTTAGGGATTAATAACCCCCAGGGCAGCAGGGATGGAGAAGGAAGGTGTGTGGGAGGGGTCTGTGCCCCAGCTCAGTGTCCTCTCTCTGTTCCCAGCAGCTCGATACAACCGTACCAACTACTTCTACCCCACGTTCTCAGAGAACTCGGAGCACAGCCATCTGCTTGTGTCTCCTGTACTGGTGGCAAGTGCAGTCATAGGAGTGGTCATCATCCTCTCCTGCATCACCATCATCGTGGGTAGCCTCCGCAAAGAAAGGCAGGCCCAGGGCCAGCAAAACCTCCAACTTCAGCACCAGTACCACCGCAACCATCGCCGCCGCCGCCGCCGCTATCAAGAGTATGAGCTTGGCCAAGGTGAGCTGCTGCCCATCTCGGGGCCCCACCCTCCTGTCCAATGGTGACTGCAACCCAGGAAGCATCAGTGAGGGGACAGCTTTGCCATGGGGGAGGGAGAGGGTGGTCAGGGAAGGCATCTTAGAGGTCTTGGGTGATCAGGAAGAGCTCACTGGTGCCCATCACAATGTTCTTGGTGGCATGAGAAGCCTGGCTGTTGGCCAAGTGTGGGGCTGAAGGTCAGAGGAAGGACACGTGGCTACTCCCCAGCCCCGGCCACTGTTGGTCCAGGCTATACTGACAGCCGGTCCAGATGGTGCCTGGATGGAGTGATGGAGTGATGGATAGAGAAAGGGATGGGAGGATAATCTGATCGGTGGATGAGGAGATGGCTAGGTGGGGGGGTTGGGTGGGATGAGTGAGTGGCTGCATCAGTGGATGGATGGAGAGATGGGTGAGTGGGTGGGATGAGGGATGGATGGCTAAATGGGTGGATGGAAGGATGGATGGATGGAGAGGTAGATGGATGGTTGGATGGGGAGGGGTGAGTAGATGTGTGGATTGGGTGGGATGTGTAAGTGGATGGATAGATGGGATGGGTGGACGGATAGATAGGAGAGACGGGGGATGGACAGGTGGGGTATTAGATGGCATGAGTGGGTAAATGAATAAGTGGTTGGATGAATGGATGGAATGAACGATAAGTGAATGAGTTGGGACTGACCAGTCCCAGAAGTGTCCCTCTACCCAGCATGCCTGAACGTTTTACAGAATGCAGCCACCTGACTCTGTCTCATTCTGGGAAGGGGCCAGTTATCTAAAAGCAGCAGGAAAGAACTCCATTCATTGCATTAAATTCTCAGACAATTTTCAATGGCAGGAAAAAGCCTACACTGAGGCCCAAACGGGCCTCTGCCTGAGACAGGGAAAAGCAAGACAGGTCTGCGACGTTGCCTAACCTCAGGGGGCGCCATTCACACTCCAGGTTAAGTGACTTGGAGGCTAAGAGCCATAGCAGGGCCAGAGGGTCTTTCCTCCTACAGGACAACAGCACCTCCTTCACACTCCTTCCCACTTCTGCACACTCTCTTCCCTATGCCCAGAATGCCATTCCCCACACTTGCCCCAGTGACAAAAGCCTACTTGTCCTTCCAGGCCCAGCTCAAATGCATCCTCTTTTGGGGAGCTTCTCTGGCCTCTCCTCATCCCTCCCAGGCTGGATTGACTCCCCGCTCCCTGTACTTCCTTGGCATTGTACCTAAGCCCCCATCAATGCCCCTGTTGCATCAGTGACAGCAGGGCCTGCATATATAGCTGTCCTCCAGCTGGGCCCACAGCCCAGCACAGGAACTCGCTCAGAAAAGGTGCTCTGTGGGCAAGGAAAGGAACCACCTCATTTCATCCTCACAGCAAGTACCGTGTTAGCCCATCTCTTTTAAAAGACTGGGAAATTGAAGCAACTTATTGAATGGTGTGGAAGTCCCCAAGCCTGAGCCTGGTATTTAGAACATGGGCGAAGGGCCCACAGTACTTCCAAAGCTAAGGTGTGAGACGTCGACAATGGCCTTGAGGAGAGAGATGGGCCTGGGGACAGGCCAGGCCCTCCTGAGTCTGTGGTGGGGCCCCATGGCCGCTGTCACGTGAGCAAGGCCCTGGCCCTGAGCTCCTTAGCAGGTTGGGTAACAGAAGGTCACATCCAGACCAAGTTTGTGGTCAGGCCTTTGCTATCCCAAGCTGACTAGCAGCAGCCTTGCATTGCTATTGCTGTGGGTACCCCTCGATGGGGTTCCCACTTCCCTACCCACTTCTGTTCTCAGCTCTGGCTTTGGTACCTCCCCGGGGCCTCAGTGGGAGCCTGGAGGTGCTAATGCCCCCCACACCTTCCTGCAACCTTCTGCAGGTACACAGGGAGTGCTGCCAGGAGCCCTAGAAAGACACCAGAAAGTTCACAGTACAAAACCTTTAAAATACAGAAAATATAAAGAAAAAAATAAGGGTCACGATCCTGTCATTCAGACAAAGCCACTGATGACATGTTTAGAATATATCCTTCTGAGAGCTTTCTCAATGTCCACAGATAGCCCTGCGATTATAGCTGCAGATAGTTTTGTATCCAGATTTCTCCCACTCACCATTGTATCAAGAGCCAGAAAACGAGCTCAGGGGAGTGGAAAGTGCAGTCTTTAGGGTTATACAGACTGTGCATGAATTCCAACTCCACGCCTTCCCAGCTATGTGACCCTGAGCCTCAGCTTCACAGTCTATAGAAGGTGATGGTCACAGTGCTGCCGACCTCAAGAAAGATCATGAGCTCTGCCCCAGACAAGCCCCGCCCCTGATATTAAGCACTGCCCTCTGAGAGGAGAAGCCACCTGGGAGCCCATTGGGGTTGGGAGGCCTCACGTTTCAGCCATCTTTGCAGCTCCCACTGTCCCCCAGGCACTTTGAGTCCTGTCAGAAACAGGGAGGTGGAGAGCTTACAGGGTGAGGAGCTGCCCTGGCCCTACCAATAACTAGCTGTGTGGCCTCCAGAAAGTCACTGAGCCTCTCCGAACCTCAGCTGTAGAATGAGAAGACTGTGCTCCCTCAGCATTTTGTAAGTAGTGTTACTAGGTCTAAGAAAACCAGATCCTGTGGTCAAATGCTGGAGCAGCACCGTTACATGCGTTTCTCAGCTGTAGGACTTTTCAGAGTCTTTGATGTGCTAATGTAGTCACAAACCCAGAAGAGAATGTAATATATGGAGTCACCAGAATTCATCATAGAAACCACTTTTCTCCCTGGAATACCTTAAGGGAATAGTGTGTGGTTGGGGGCGATGAGACCTGACCACAGAGACCTCTGGAGCCCTTATTCCCTGACATACTTCTGCCCGTTTCTCATGGCCCAGACCTTCTCCACAGCTCAAAGCTTCCTGTTCATACCACACTCTTCTTTCTCTCTCCCTCCTTGGCTCAAACTCTTTTGTTCCCGCTGCCCAGCCTGCTCCTCTTCCCCTGGCTAATTCCTAGACAAGACTCAGTTCTGGGAGCCCCTCCTCCAGGAAGCCCTCCCTGACCTCCAGGCTGGGTCAGGCCTGCTCTGTTTCCACAGCCTCAGTACTACATCTATCAAAACTCATGACATGCTGCTCAGTACTGAGCTGTCCCCAGGGCAGGCTGCCCACCATCCTGGGAGCCCCACCAGGATAGAATGAGCTCTGCTTCCTCTCTGGGAGCCCATGCTCATCCCAATGTAAGCATTGGTGCTTACATTCTGGGGCTGTCACTGAGGGGATCTGTGCTTGGCGAGGAGCCGGAGGGTGAGCTGGAGAGAACAGAGTCTCGGTGGCCTCAGGTAGACACGTGAGGACCCTCCTGGGCTCCAGCCTGAGTCCCAGGCTACATGTCTGTTCCCTGCAGTGTCTGATGAGCACACATACGGCTACTCAAGCCGCAGGATGCGCTACGCCTGCAGCCCTGCTGAGGACTGGCCCCATCCCTTGGATCTGAGCTCGGATGGGGAAATGGATGCCCTAGGGCTCCAAGGCCTGTACCCAGATTCTCCGCCAGGGTAAGGAGGCCTCATGGGGGAGGAGGGCAGGAGAGGGCGGGGCTCTAGGCACCCATCCCCCCATGGGGAATAGCAACACCTCCCCCAATGGTATAAATGCAGAAAACATCTGTTCAGAGGGTGTGACCATCTCCTAACCCCTCCTGACCACATAGGTCCCAACGAAGCAGGGTGTGACTCAGCAGATGTCACCATGAGACACTCGAAAAGGAAGAGAACAGCTCAGCTCCTTCGGGGTAGGGGTGGAGGGTCCAGGCCCCAGCTCCTTAGCATGTATCCCCCAAGCCCAAATCACATCCACTGGTACAGGGGTTATCATGTCTCTCAGGTGGCCCTGTCCCATTGGGGAATTCTTCTCTGGGGACCTCTGGGGACCCTCAAGCAGATTACCCACCCGTCAGTACTTGAAAAGAGAAAAGGGGTCAGGACCGTCATCACTTCCCTATTAGGAGACCCCCTCAGGCCTGACAAGCAGCCACATCCTCCCCAACACCCTTCTTACCCTTTTCTCCCATCCCCAAGGGGCAGTGGGAGGGGCGGTGCATTTGCCCTCTCCCAGGCCAGAGGAAGGTTTTTTGCCCTGAATCTGTGGGTTCATAGGGGCCCCAAAGACTCCTTCCTAAACCTGGAAAGGCCACTTTGGAGTGGCTTGAGACCAAGGCGTGCCTGGAAGCCTGAGGTCGCTCCTACCAGAACCGCCCACACTCCGTGCCCAGCCTGGGAGATACTCCATCACTAGCAGCTACTGTTGTTCTGAGCTATCTGAGACCTAGCCTTCAGTGGCACTCTTTCAAGTTCACACAGAGCATTGTGGCTAAGTCAGGACCAGAGTCTGGGTCTCAGTGGTTCTGTAGTGCCCCTCCCTGGAGAGTAGAGCAGTTTCATTGGAGTCATCGTTACAGAGGCCTGGCCTGGCCCATGCCAGGGCAGCTTGTCACTGCAGACAGGCCCACAGTTCTTGGCAAAAGACCCTACACCCCCGCTAAGACCAGGTTCCACAGGGCCCTGAGGAAGCCCCTTTTCTTGTAGTTACGAGGAGTGTATGGGGCCAGGAGCCACTCAGCTGTACATCCCCACGGATGCACCACCACCCTACTCGCTGACCGACTCCTGCCCTGTGTTGAGTGGCCTCCTTGACACAGGCAGCAGCAGCAGCCCGGGCCGATTCCAGCAGGCGCAGAGGATCCTGGGCCACGGTGGCATCCGCACCATCTCCATGGACACCCTCCCTTCTTACGAGGCTGTGTGTGGGGCTGGCCCTTCATCAGCCCTGCTGCCACTGCCAGGGCTAGAGCTAGGGCCATGGAGCTCCCAGGGCCAACCCAGCCCCAGCTGGGCCCTGGTCTCCAGCCCAGAGAGGATTGTGTAAGTGCTAGCTGGCCATGTCGAGCCAGTCCCTTAGGGCTGAGCCACACCTTTCAGGCACACGCGCATGCGCACACGCGCACACACGCACACACGCGCGCGCACACACACACGCACACATGCACGCGCACACACGTGCGCACGCGTGCACACACACACACAGACTCATGCACACACAGCATTTCCACAAGCATACATATATACACAACTTATATACACTGAGACACTCATGTGCACACACACATCTCGACATGCCTCACATGTATGCAGACATGTGCACACACGCAAGTCCCCACCCACCCACGCAACCATCTGTGAAGGTTTCATTAAAAATGAAGCTCTCCCGACCTCCAGTCTCCTCCCCAGGCTGTCAGCTATGACTCTGTAGACACACTGGGAGAAAGCAGGTGGAGAAGAGGCTGGGGCTGCCTCTACACCCTCCCTGGGCCTGTTTGCCCCTGCCCTCACCTGGCAGGCTGTGCCCAACCAAACTCTGATTCTTCTTCCAGAAACTGCTTGACCACCCCAGGTCAGCTGCCTGCCCCACCCCCCAACCCCCCAGGGCAGCTTGTCCTCCCAGTTGGTAGGACAGGCCTCAGTGAGGCTCAGCTATTCGCTGTACCTCTCTTTCAATTACAGGGCAAAGAAACACATCACCACCCTGCCACTTACAGGGTGAGGGACACGGGTCTGGGGGCTCAGGCACAACCTGAGAACCCTCACAGCCCGCCCTGCCCTCTCCCTAACCAGTGCCCTCCGTCTGGTGGTGCTAGCGGAGTAATCTCAGAAGCCCCCACCCCAAGCCACAGGTGATGAACAGGGCCCCTGGTGGGCGCGAGGTAGTGTGGTGGTGGTAGCTCACAGCTGTCCCCATGTCAGTCTAACCACTGCCCAGGACTGAGGGTCTTCAAAGAAGGTAAAGGCTCTGAGGCAGAGGAGCATGTGCGCAGATGACCATTATGGCCTGAGCTTGAATGGGCTGGAGCCAGACCCCAGAAGCTGGTGCTGTCCTCTTGGGGAGCAGCTCATAGTTGGGAATTGAGTTGACATGTTCTGGCCTTGCCCTCCAGGGTGTTTGCAGAGACAAAGTAAAGGCAATGATGCCACTGCAAGAGGACCAGTGTTTGCATCTCGGCCTCGCTGCCAGGGGCACCACAAAGGGAGATGTGTGGGGTTGCCTAGTGGTAGAGTGGCTCCGATCTTGGCCCATGAATTCAGGCAGTTTCCATCAGAGACCATGCAGGTAACAGCTGATTTCTGAAGACCCAGCCTGCCAGAGGGTGGCGGCCAAGCATGTTTGAGTGTCTCCGCCAGCATCACCAGCGGCAGGGAGCGGAGTCCTCAAATCTACTCTGCCTCCCTCCCCCATCCTTAAACGACACCCCCTCCCCCAATCCATCCTCTCCCTCACACCAATTCCTCCAACGAAGGGCTAAAACAATTCACTAATCACTTTCTTAAGGAGAGGGGGGTGGCAAGGATGGCAATTGTGAATTTTATTTTCTGTAGAAATAGAATTTCTTCCGGTGCAGAACTGAAAAGGAATCCGCTCAGAGGTTGGGTAGCACCTGGAGCCCCCTGACTCCACCCCGGGAGGGACCTTGTTTACAAGCAGTTCTGTCCACCTTCGTGGTTTACTGTTTTCTAGGCAAAAAATATCTGTCTGTTGTACTGTATAGCCTTTAAACTGCATTCCAGGGATGAAAATCTCTTAAACGCATCCTGCTTCTGCAACCCTCAGAGTGCCGGAGGGAAAAAAAATCCCTACCCCACTCATCTGTGTTTGAGGATGAACAGCTTTACTTGTTCCTGGATTAAGCGCTAAATAAGCAACAATGTATCTTTTCTGTGTTCAAAGTAAATATATATCAATAAAAATATTGCAAGAAGTAACATTATCAGAGTTGGGTTGGCTCTGCCATCTGAAACTTGTAAGAAGAGGAAACAGGAAACAGTAGCAAACTGAAAATATATCACTTCTCTCAAAATTAGCAGTCATTGAAGCCTTGTCATTTTCCTATTGACACAGATATTTGGGTAGTAGGTGACTTACAAGAGTTACTTTTTTTTTTTTTTTAACCTTACTGGGACATAGCATCATTACTCTGAGATTTGGCCTGTGTAAATGTCACCAAGGCGGGCTATGAACTTCAGGACTTAACTCCAGGAATACCAGGGACTGCACATTTTACTTTTCAAGCCATTGGTTCAGCACTCTGATGGCTTTGATTACCAGGAAGGAGGGGAAATGTGTAATTAGACTGAAATGACTTTTCTCCCCTCTGCAGAAATTATCTTCCTTTCTCTGCTCTCCATAACACCATGACTTTGGTCATTGATATCTTGACTGACAGAGGCTGGTTCCCTTCCCCTGTCATCCTTTCCTCCTACTCGAACCGAAGTCGAGTCCACTAGCATAGTCTTAGGCCCTCAAGTGCCCCAAAAGTGAGGTGCCATCCTAAAGATGCAACCCTCAGTCCTGTTCCAAGCCCACACTGCCACCTGCTGGCCACCTGCTGCCACTGTTCAAAGCAAATGAGTCTGCCCCTGAAGAAGCAGCAAATTCCCTTCCCCTTTCAAATCCACTGCCCGTGGCCACTCATAGTTGTAGATGAAGCTTGTCTTCCGCCTTTGGGTTGCTCCATGAAGTTTAACCCATTCAAGCATTCCATTTTCAGGAATAGCTCCTTCCCCCAGCATCTCTCTCTGAGCACAGCATGATACCTAAGCTCCCTCTCTGTATGCAAAATAGTCACTGCTGTCTTTCTAAACACCACTGTGCATGGCTCAGGTGCCACCTCCGTGCTCCGGGGCCCATTCTCCTGGGAATGCATGTAGCAGCCTTATGGTGATGGCATCCAGCCACGTGCTAACCCCAGCCTGAGCCACCCCACACCAACACCTGGTTCTGACAACAAATACTCAGGATCCCACCGGCCCAGGGGATTGCTGGACTCAGCTTTTCCTGCCTCCTCCATCCATGGCACACCCTGTGTCCACATATGGCACCACATTCAAGGTCCTACACATGAGACTGACCTCCTCTCTCTACCAGGGACCTGAGGGGTGGGAGCTGAGGAGGAACCCTTGTGCAGGCTGAGAGGGCTCCTCTGGCCAGAGAAGGCCTCCAGAAAGAGGAGTCACAGCTGCTGGCGTATGAGGCCATCGGGATGGTCAACACGCACGGGCACGGTCTCTGGACAGCACCAACGGCATCTGCTACACGTGAGCATCAGGAATCACCGAGGAAGGGAGACAGGAGGGTTGATAGAGCATGGCCATTCAGGCCACCCCCTGGCACATCCGCTGGCTCACACCAGCCAGGCCACCCACACATACACACAAAGGGATCTCTCACCCCCAGTTCCTACAGACACCCTGACACCCACTTGCATCACTCAGCTCACATCATCTGTGGTTTCGGTATGCACTTGCTCAGACAGCTTCGGTGGACACACACTAGTGCCGCTTAAACACTCAAAGGTCCCACATGCACACTCCAAGGCCACCCGCTCTCACACTCAGGAGTCACCATCAGTGACTGACCTGATGACTGACCAGGTTCTGAATCTGAGCGGTGGAAGGACCGGCAGCTTCATCGTCTGAGAGCACGAATCATCCGTCTTGGGCTCTGCTCTGCTTCGCCTCACCTTGCACCTCCCCCAGCCCAGGTGAACTCTCTCAATCAGGACTAATTGCATAGGTCAGGCCCAGTATTTCCGGGCTAGGGGCTGGGCACGCCTTTGCCCCCGGGGGCTGCAGCCCAGCTGTCCCTGCTGAGCACTTCTCCACGGAATCCCAGGTCTGCAGGTCCTTGAGCCTGTGGTCACAGCCTCAGAGACACCACAAGTAGCCATCCTCACCAGCCTGACTCCTGGGGTCCTGGGGCTGTCCGTCCTGCCCCACAGCTGGTGGCTGACTGGTGCACGACCCACCACAAAGCTGGCACCACTATAGGGGACAGCTCTTGAAAAGAGGACCCTCTATCCCCTAACAGGCTCTGAGCCTTACCCCCATTATCCAATTTCAAGAGACAGAAACCCAATTTAAACATGAAAGGGTATTTATTGGCTCATGCACCTAAATTGTCCAATGATCATTCCAATCAGCTGCAGCTAGATCCAGGGAACCTGAGAACGCGGGCAGGTGTATTCTCTTGGCTCTACTGCCTGCCATTCTCCCACAGGGGCAATGGCTGTGGATGCCCCAGGTATGTTGGCTGATCCAAAATTAAGAGAGACTCTCTCTCCCAGACAGCAAATGTCAAATCTCAGAGAAAACTGGCCTGGATATGCACTCATGCCTGACCCTCTGTGAAGGGCCAGGGCTGAGCAGCAGAGTCTCTGATTAGCTAGGCCTGGGTCATGTGTCCACGCCCATGGGAGAGGAGGAGCCAAACCAGACTTTCCTGGAATGGGTTTTCCAAAGCAAAGAGCGAAGAGGGTAGGGAGGCACACCCAGAACAGAGAACTCTGCCCCGACCCCACCAGCTCCAGGCCCCACCCACCAGCTCTCAGTCTGAGTGATGACACCACGCCAGGGTTACACAGCGACCATCTGGCAAGCTAGGGCTGGTGCTGGGGCAGGAAAAGCAGGAGGTAGCTGCTGACCAGGGCCCCTGGCAGAAGACGAGAAGTCAAAACCAGCCTACAGCAGGGCCAAGGGCACCGGACTCACGGAGCCACCATCTTGAATTCGTCCTGGCTGTCTCCCACAGTTGCCCTGTCAGAGAGCTGGGGCCAGAGACGCCTGGCTCCAATGGCTGCTGGGAGGGGCCTCTGGCCAGCTGCGGGACTTGGCCAAATTCCACAGTGAGGGCACTCTGTGACTTGAGGACGACGAGACTCTCACTACCCACAGTTTGGTTGGGACATAGCTCCATTCCTGAAAAGGGATATAAATTTGGGCCAAAGGCCAAGGTCGGATCTGTGAAGTCAGGCCTGAGGCTCAAGGCCAGAACAAAGGGCTGTTCGCTGCTGGGCTCCCACAACTCCCCTTCCTCCCAGCCCTTCCCTCCCTGGACTGTCCCTGTGTGTCTGAGCCATCCCTGCCGGGCTGAACCACCAGGGTCAGGGCCCAAGCTGGTTTCTCTCTGTGTGGTGGGCCCGGTGG